TTGTTGGCTGGGAGATGGAAGAACCAAACATAAGGACTTTGGGTTATGGCTTTGTGGGCAAAGGTCAAGAAGAGAGAATTTGTAATGGAGCAAACACAGCATGGTGTAATGCTAGAAGTGTGACTAGTAAATCAGGGTTTAAACCTCACTTCTATACCTTCCTAGTGTGTGACCTTGGACGAGTTACTTGCATTCCTGGAGCATCTTTTGTAAAACAGAGATAATAATATCTACTTCCTAGAACTGAGACGAGGGTCAGTGAGGTAATGTATGGATAAGGTGGAGGAGAGAAATAAAAGTGAGAGTAATGATTTTTAAAATTCATTTATTAAGCACCTATTCTTTCAATGATACCCTTTTTTTGCTGACTGTGTGTTAGAGCCCAGTGCTGTGGCAGAGACTAGGGCAGTGCCCTACAGCATGGAGAGGTCCAGCTTGCTGTAGCACACCTCAGGGTAAAACATGGCTTTCCTGAGGCTGGGGTTGAAGCTATTTCAACCTTCATGGCATGGGGCCAGATCTGTGTTGAATGGCAGGTTAAGAAATATGAGTCATTAACAAGAATTATCTTCACTCGATTCACATAAGTTGGCTTATGTCTTTCATATTATGTTTTTCTATACCAGCAAAAGTATTCTGGGGATGAGTGGTATAAAACAGGGAGGGAGGGAATGACTAATATGTCAATTTGTAGATACCTGTTTAGTTAGCCCCGGCATTTATACAACTCTCATTAGCTTTCAGGAAAGTCTTTATCTCTGAATTAAACTTCCAATGTGCAGAGGGCTTTATTTTGCACAGCAGTACATTTCCTAAGAAGTAACATGCAAGTTAAAAAGAATATAAAAACTAACCTTATTAAACCCGCTAGGGCAGCTGTGGCAGTTCTAAACATACATAAGTAATCAGTTCCTAATTTTTATTAATCTGGTAAAGTTAGATAATGAAATCTTGGATTTTCTCAAAGTGAGAGATATCCTTGTATTTAGTAACAAAAATTAATAGCTACCACGTGTGCTTGCTGCAGCAGTTAAGAGCAGGTTATTCAGCTCCTGCTTTAGATAAACACTGGATAAGAATGTCAAGTCTATAACCACCCCTCCTCCCTTTTCCGGCTCCCAACACAACCACCCCAGCTCTCCCAGATGTTTCAGATTCCAAGAATGTTTGCATTGATTAAACATTCTATTTTTTTGCTTATTTCCCCATCTCAGACCTTGGAAATGTTATCTTTACTTTTATTATTTGAGATCAGGGCTATTTCTGGAAAGTATGGGGTTCAGGGAAAAAATCACATTTTATGCTCTTCTCTTCCCCAGTTCTTTTCTTCCATACAGGTGGAAGCTAATATAACAAGGGCAGCTGTTGTAGGTAGAAACTATTCAAAGTCTATCCTTGAAGGATTCTGCTGGAATGTTTCCTGAGTGAGGGATAAGGAAGTGTTTATGGGTTTATTGTATGTAATTGATTCAACCATCTTTGTTAGAACCCTGTAGTCTTCGCTTAGCAATTTGGAGTAAGGGGTGAATCTCTGAGGGTGGGACACGTGGAGGAGGTGAGGATGGTCATATCCTCATATCCTGGGGGAAGAAGTAAAAGGCAACAGTGCTGAGGAGCTACATTTTGGGAAATAAGCATGATCTATGGGGATTAGCCTATCAGTCATCTAGCAGTCTAATTTCAACTCCAGTACACTTCAGTGATTTGGTACGTAGGTCATTGCCTTCAAGCTATGCTTGGGCCAGCAATTAAAGGCAGCTATGGGATCTAACACAACACATCGGGGACTGCAATCCAGGAGACTTGGAATAAAACTGGATGCTGCCACATCCCAACTCTACAGCCTTGTTCAAGTCAGTTAACCCTTCTGACCCTTGGCTTCTTTTTTTTTTTTTTTAATCCTCATCCGAGGACATTTTTCCATTTCCTTGTACAGACAGAGTGGGAGGGAGAGAGAGGAAGAGAGAGAGAGGGAAACATCGATGTGAAAGGGACACATCGAGTGGCTGCCACCCGCACGACCAACCAGGGCCGGGGACAAACTGCAACCGAGGTACATGTCCTTAGCGGGAACCGAACCCGGGCCTCTCGGGACCGCAGGCGGATGCTCTAACCGCTGAGCCAAACCGGCCAGGGCGACCCTTGGCTTCTTTATCTACTAAAAGGTGGAAGGACAACATCTGCTTCACATGCTTGCCGTTGTAGTGTTCTTGTGAAGATTAAATGGAATAATGACACAAGAGGAAATATCAATCCAGTGTTTTACACACAGTACGTGATTCGAGCTTTCAGGAATTTTGCAGTTTATAGGATGCCCTTTCCTGAGGATGGGGGTATCTATGCTCCAATATATTTTTTTAAATGACCCTCATCTGTCTAAAAGTGAAATTGATTTAGAAAATTCTGGGTCAAGACTATCAAAATGGAAATTTGTAGTCATATTTTATCAGGGCTGTTCTTTGTAAAGTTTCTCTCACTGGCTATTGTGTGAAATAGATGGGGTTTCCTAAGGTGGGGTCATGGTTTTAGGAATAACGGGGAGGCGTTATTTCTTCCAGTCTGGAGCACTTGTTGGAATCCATGAATTGCCTAGAGAAGGTGCAGATCCTCAAGCCCACCACAGACTGCTGCCTCAGCATATTTGAGGATGGTGCCTAAGAATCTGCATTGAAAATTGAGTACCCTTGATGCTTCTGGTGAACACAAAGACTGAGAGCCATTGTTTAATCTGCTATTGGTCATTATTACTTAGGCTGACCATGGAGTTTGAGCACAGATTTTGATTGGTATGGAAGGAAGTTGGAGAAGGAGAATTGACCCAGGGTAGAATGAGAATTGTGAAGTTGAGGTAGGAATAACTGAAGACCAGTTTTGCTGATTTTATTGGTTTGAGCCCAGTTCCTTATTTCATTACGAGGTCTAGGGAGAGGGAGCAGAATTGATTCCCAAGCACTTGTGTCTGGAATGAATAAATTAACTGACATTTTTTCCTCTTTGATTTTTTGACTTTGCACAAGGTTCTGACAAACTAAGTGTTGTGCTTATGAGTACATGATAGACCGAGAGAATGTACTCTGACTATGGATTGTGCCAGAGGGAAATTTTTCCTGTCTGGTAACTTTTTGAGCCTAAATTGCATGCTTTCTGGCAGCATAGAAAACAGACATGAATTAAGTTATTGTAGTTCCTGAATTTAACTCTGCCTTTGTAATACTCAGCCCACATGAATAAGAGACATGTTTTCTTCCCAGTGACACATGTGCGATTCCTTCTTCTACCTCCTACCCAAACATCCTTTAAGAAAAGGAAGAGAGCTTTAGTACCAAGCATAATGTGGGTTTAGGTAATTTCACAGGCTACAGGGTAATTCCTGGAATGGAGTGGAAAGCCCAAGACAGATATCCGGGAAGAAAGGAGCAAATGGTGACAAGGAACTTACTTTAAAATTACAGGACCCTCTTTTATTGCCACAATTGAGTCACGTGAATGTTTTGGTCTCTGCCATCCAGGGGCTGTTTCCATGGATTGATTCATTTTCCTGGTTTCCTCCTTGAAGAGAAAAAAAGGAGAAGAAGAAGAAAAAGGAAGCTACTCTGATAATCTGAGTAATTCCTGCTATCAAAGTAGTAGGAACTCACTGATCCCAGGTTCACACAGAAGTCTCAGTGTGGGCTTACAGATCTTGTTGCTGTGTTGCTGTGTATTGAATGCCTACTCTCTGCTGTCTTAAGCACTAGGATACAAAACTAAGGAGAAATTTCCCCTGTCATTAAGAATCTCTTTGTCTATAGGAGAAGGTGCAAAATAAATGAAAAATGTAATAAATTATGAACCTAAAGGACCATGCTGATTTTCTCTGTGCCCCTCCCATGTCTACTACCCCTTGAAATTCAACAAGGAGAGGGATTAGCAGGTTAGTTGCTATTGTGAGTGGATTGTATAGTGTCCTCCCAAAATTTATGTCCACATGGAATCTCAGAACGTGACATTATTTGGACATAGGGTCTTTGCAGATGCAATTAAGTTAAGACAAAGTCATACCTTATTGGGGTGGGCTCTGAGTTCAATGATGACTTGTGTCTCCATGAAAAGAGGAGTGTGTATGCAGACATTCTGGGAGGAAGGCCATGTGAAGATGGTAGCAGAGATTGGAATGATGCTCCCAACAAGCCAGGAGCGCCAAAGATTGCTGGCCCACCAGAAGCTAGAATCCAGGCATGGGACACAGTCTTCCCTTGGGCCCCAGAAGAAACCAACCTTGCTGACACCTTGATTTCAGGCTTCTGGCCTTCAGAACTGAGAGAGAATACATTTCTGTGATCTTGAGCCCCACCCCCCACCCCCCATACCAACATCCTCTTTGTCACGCAGGCCTAGGAAACCAGTGTAGTTGATTTTTGGAAACTGTGCTGTTGTTCACTTCTTGCTTTGCCCTCGAATCTACTAAAACTCATATGCAGTGTTCCTCCTGGTATTTGAAAACTACTGGCTACTGATAAAAGGAAAAAATAAACAGGAGAATGTTCAGCAAGGAAAAAATTCCCATGGTTACCTTCTTCTTTGTCTTATACTTTAGCATTTTCTAATGAGGTTACTCTGGCTGGTTCTTAGCCCCTCAATACTGGTAATTCCCTTCACTGTGGTTGTCTTACCTTCTTCTTCTTCTTCTTCTTCTTCTTCTTCTTCTTCTTCTTCTTCTTCTTTCTTTTATGTTAATTCTCACCTGAGGATGTTTTTTCCATTGATTTTTTCTTTTTTTTGAGAGCATAAAAGAGAGGGAGGGAGGAAGAAAAGGAGAGAGAGAGAGAGAGAGAGAGAGAGAGAGAGACAGAGACAGAGAGACAGAGAAAGAGAGAGAATAAATGTTGTGTGTGAGCTGATGCTCTAACCACTAGGCCCACCACAGGGCTCCTCTCCATTCTTACCTGCTGTCCTTCTCTACTTCAGTTATCCCCAACATATATTTTATAAAAGTCCTTGTTCCTTGTAACACTCTCTAGTGCTCATCCATGTGGACCTGCCAGCTCACAGTCCAGCTGTGATGTCTTGGCGTCAGCTCCTTGACAACGACCAGTAAGAAGGTAATGACTGTGGGGATAAGCAACAATTCCATCCCTATAGACTTCTAGCTTTACTTGTAAATGTGGAAATGTTAATGTTCGAGGAGGTAAATCTAGTAAATGTTCCTGTTTTATTGATACAGACTTTGAGGTGAGTGTTGGTGGTTTGTCTAATATCTCATAACTGGTCAGCACGAGAACTAAGATAGAATCAAAGGTCCTTTCATCCCCCTCCCACTGTGTCAGGCAGAGGTGGGGTGGCCAGTACACCAGATTCCTATAGCACTGATGCCAGAGACAAGGTTTTTCTCTATCAAGCTGGTTTATCTGGGATCATTGTTTAAATTCGACTTCTCTTTCCTTCCCCCAGACTCATTATGAAGCAGATGCCAGATGGTGAATTGCAGATTGTATTTCAGTTTCTTCATTCACTCAGAAATTTTATGACCTTGGGTTTTATATCCACAAGAAAAAGAATGTTTCTAAAGAAGCTTGAAAATTATCAAGAGGATTGAATGTCCCTCCAAATAGACCCCTGATATACATTTAGGGGTAAATATATCTTTTTAATCTATTCATATCTCTTATGTATGAGGGCTACTGGATATGTAGTTTGAAAAGAAAAAGTAGGTTAATCTAGTCAAAGAAATGGCCTGGATGATCCCTACTCTCTCCCTTCACATGATCAGTCCTGAGTCTTGTGCTAGACAGAGATCCTAGGATTGTTAATGGGTCAGCTACCTAACCTACTTTTGCTTTACACCACCAGCGCCTGTATCACTCTGCCAGCTGAGAAACAGGCTGACCAGACCCCAAGTCATCACAGCAGCCACCAACACCCATGCTCACCTTCAAGCACATTCCTGAGCAGAAGGACAGGCTCTTGGAGGCACTGCTAGATGTCAGAGGTGTCACTGTGGGGACATTCCTTAACCTTTCTGGCTTCAGTTTCCTCATCTGTCACATGGTGATCATTCTATTTGCTTCTCGGGATTATTATGAGAACTATAGATAAGATACATAAAGTGGTTCTTGGCAAAGAGGAAGGGCTTCATAACCAGAAACAATCTTTGTTGTTATTGTTATTATTATTATTGTTATTATTATTTTTTGAAATCTTCACCCAAGGATATGTTTTACTGATTCTAGAGAGAGAGGAACGGGGAGAGACAGAGAAACATCAATCAGTAGCTTCTTGTACTTGCTCTGACCTGGGATCGAACCTGCAATCATTTGGTGTACCAGATGGCGCTCCAACCAAATGAACCACCCGGCCAGGGCTTTATTATTTTTAAAATTACTATGAGCATTTGTATATCTTTGTGTATAGCCTTGATCCCTATGAAATATTAAATGGGAATAAACTTTCCTTAGGCTTACTAGTTTATTTAAGAGGTAAAACATCTTTGAATCAGCTTCTGTCATATTTGTTTATTGGCTGTGGTTCATTTGCTTATTAATGTGTCTGAACTTCTCAATGCTCCTAGGATACTGGTCAGTGGAAGGTACCAGAGCCTCTGCCCAAGCTCAGGTGTCCAGCTGCAAGGACTGGGTAGGGGAAGCAGGAAGAAGTAGTAGGCGGTGCCCCTCTTCAAGGCTTGTTGCACATTTGTCTGAGTCCCTTCAGCCCCAGAGGTCACGTGCATTACAGGGGATGTCTCATCCACGATAATGAAGAGCAGTCCATGCTGAAATAATGGGGACATCTCATTGTGCCATCTGGCCTCTCTGGTAGAGATAAATTCTCTGCCTGGCAGCAATCATATCACTTCTTTCTGTAGCTGTTTTAGATGCTGTTTGGTCTCCTGCCCTCCATGTTTGCATATGTCTCACGACCAGGCACTATTACCCCGCTCATCAAAGAAGAATTACAGTTTGTGTCTCTCTGTGCTTAAAGGGAAGAATATGGACAGTGTGTTATTAGGCTTGCTGGAGATTATATCTAAGATTAAAGGAACACTTACTTAATATTTTCCTTAAGAAATCAGTGTGAACAAAACAGTAGGTATCTAATTATAAAAAATTGAGACCAGTGGAGAAGATGGAGGGAGTTACAGATAATAAATGAAGGGTTATAAATGAAATGGCCACATCATCTGCAGGCATATAAGTTTTTAGCCAAGCCTCTGAGCCACTGTGATGTACTGGAGAGGACACTGCATTTGAAATAAGAAAATTTACATTGGTTTCAGCTCTGTTTATACTACTGCTTTTACACTGGGAGAGACCTGGGCCTCAGTGTCCTCGTCTGTAAATGGAGATAATAATACCTGCCCTACCTGACAGACTGGTTGTGATTACCAAATGAGTTTAATGTCTGTGAAAGTTCCCCATACATCACAAAATGCCATATACAAATCATTATCTGGTTATGGCTTCATAACGAGAGGCTTCACGTCTGTTTATATATAGCCAGTGCACAGCTGATCTTGATCTCCGAGGAAATTGGGATTTGCTAATGTGTTTATGTAGAAAACTAAAGGAAAGTGTCTGCAAAACTCAAATCACTGTATATGGCAGCTTTTTGTCATTTCCAAATGTATCCGGGAAGAATTTAGCAGCTGAAGCAGTTTCGCTGCTTCATTTGCTTTGAAAACCTTAAGTCATCTGAAAAATTACAGGGTTGGAGTGGTTAAGAATGTGAAGCCACCGAGGAAAGCATTTCTGGAGAACCCATGGCCTGCTGTGAGTTCTGCTGCAAGCACTGAGAAGCTGGCTGTCTCAACCAGGGAGTGCGTCTGGAGAAACTTAACTAACTGGAAGAGCCCTTCTGTATTCATTTCCAAAAAGCCTCAGGAGGAAGTTAATTCGCTCAAGCTTGCTCAGGGCCTTTCTGGGGCACTGGGGAAAAAGAAAAAAAAAATTCTTCGTGAATAGAAGGAAGTGAAAAGTTAGAATTCTGGAAACTGAACTTCCGGAACAAGAAAGATCCAGCATCTGACATGGAGAATGAAATGTGCCCCTCCCTCGACTCTGTTCTGTGACCTCCTTCCTGACTGGGTATGTAGAAATTGTCTCCCTTCTAGAGCTCTGTGGAAGATTTCAACCAACATCTGGGCTCATGTCAGAAACGTGTTTTGAGTGGTTTTCCTTTGTTAGGTGATAGTGGTGGGTTTACAGGAGGACCATGACGCATGTCTCTCACAGTATGTCCAGTTGTAGTGACTAATGCTAACATGAGTTGTTAAGTTCGTGATGCGTCCCACGAACTTAAGTTTCAGTGTTAGAGAGCCAGAAATGTTCTCAGCCCTTAAACTTTAGGATTTGATCTGTGTCAAGGTAGGGGAGAAGGGTAGTAATTGGCTCATGGTGAACAGACAGCATGCCCCAAATAATACTAGCTTCATTTAGTCACTGGGTTCTAAACTTTATTTGCTGTGTTTTGCATGCCTATTTTCCTCATTTAATTATAACAACACATTTATGAAGGAGAGATTATTTTTTTTTATATAATTTTTTTTTTTATCCTCACCCGAGGACGTTTTTCCATTTTTTGTACAGATAGAGTGGGAGGGAGAGATAGGAAGAGAGAGAGGAAACATCGATGTGAAAGGGACACATCGAGTGGCTGCCACCCGCACAACCAACCAGGGCCGGGGACAAACTGCAACCGAGGTACATGCCCTTAGCGGGAACCGAACCCGGGTCTCTCCGGACCACAGGCGGACGCTCTAACCGCTGAGCCAAACCGGCCAGGGCAGGAGAGATTATTTTTAAGAGGAGAAAACTAGTGCTGACAGAGGTTACAAACTAGCTCAAAGTCACACAGAACTTGAGTTCAGAGCCAGGACTTGAACTGTACTGTTTCAAAAAAAATTTATTGAGAATTTCTCAACTTGCATGGTACTATTGAAGGTGCTGAGCTGTCTTACTCTATGCCTTCAGTGAGTTCTTCATCTCATTGGATAAGCAAAGAACACAGATTTCATAATGTAGGATCTAACATGGTAAGTGATTGAGAGATTGGTCATAGTCACCAGAGAATAACAATAGGCAAACTGACCAATCAGAACTGAGCAATTGAATTCAAGCTTATCAGCAGTCCTAGTATTGGGTACATGGTTTGAAAGCTATATTCACTACTGACAGTAAAAGAAGGATAAGGTGAACCACAGTATAATGATACATCTAGAACTTAAGTTAAATCTTTTGTAATTCTTTAAAAAAGTTTTACCTTTATTGATTTTAGAGAGAGAGATAGATAGATAGATAGAAACATTGATGAGAGAGAACATTGATTGGCCACCTCCTGCATGCTCCCCATTGGAGATTGGACCCATAACCTGGGCATTTGTCCTGACCAGAAATTGAACCGGCAACTTCTTGGTGCATTGGTCAATGCTCAACTACTGAGCCACAATGGCTGGACAAATATTTAGTAATTCTAATTGCAATTCAACAAACATCCATGGCATTGCTTTGAGAAATTATCTCCCCATCCTACCCTAAGTGACCTCCAGATATTTTTGAGAGTTCCCCATGTGTCTGTGTAATGTTCCATGGGGTTTTCATCTCTGAACTTTTGACTGCTAGACACAGCCATGGTTTGGTGACTGCCACCACAACCCTCACCATGGACCCAATGGAGAGGCTGCTGTTCTCCCTTTACCTGCGATGACCCATTGTCTTAGGAGTAGGTCTACTCACAAACCATTTGCTATTTCAACTACATTTTATTCAATTTTCAGAGATTTTTAGTCTCCCTTAGCTGTCTCAGAGAATGCCAGCAACATGGTTTAACTCTAGCATTATCCTTTTAAAGAGATTTTATAGCTGGATTAAAGGAAACTTTATACCTCAGCCTCCAAATCATAGAGTACTCATTGAGCTCTTACTGTTTACCCTGCTAGGTGCCATGTCAGACACAAAAAGAGAAGGTGTGTTTTAAGTCTTGAAGAGATTTTTACCCTTACTAGAAAATCAAGATTGATGCACATACATGCTCTGTTAGGAACACAGTATTTGAAAAATAGCTTGGAAATCAGCTCTGTCCTTTGCTACTGGTGTGACCTTGCTCACATGAGTATGTTGAGCTTTCATGTCCCCATATGAAAATAAAATAATTGATCTAGGTAATATTTTATTGCCATTCCAGTTCTACTTTTTTGATTCTATTAACATAAGATACCACATGAGAATAACACATGGACTATATGTGTTCCAAGGAAGAAAAAAATAATGGTGAGCTGAGAGTGTTCCTGTAAGGCTTGATGGATGAGAGGGAACTCATTTGGGTATTAAAGAGTAATTAGGTTTGGATTAGCAATAGATGGAAAATATATGGTCCATTTCTATTCAGAGTATAAATGGGTTTGGGGGAGTTACTATCTAAAATGAAATTTTACTTCGTAGAGATGGCATGTGGTTGGGTGGATTAGTTGTACAACCTGAACAAATTTCCTATATTTCTGTCCTCAATTTGTTTTTCTAAAA